TGGTGATGATGATGATGATGATGATGATGGCGATGATGATGATGATGATGATGATGGTGGTGATGATGATGATGATGATAATGCAGTACTATAGAATTAATTATGAGTAAACTAATGTCATAAACGAACATAGTATTAATGATTATGATAACATTACTTGATAATAAATAACTAATTGAGGAATGGACGAAAGGTCATAAAATATGACGCGGCACTCTCTGAACGATATGCAATGCCGCAGATTTTTTCTATATTTTACCATTAGCGAGTTAACATAAAGCAGGCGATATTTATATTGAATCAATCGACAACAGACAGACGAACACATACAGACACGAAACGAATTCTATGAGTGTATATGTCTCCAGCTAGGACATTTGCAATGAATGGAAATATCCTCGTATAGTTAAAATATTGTGTGTTGTATTACAGGACACTCATTCGGACAATCAGTTCAAAAGTCAATGCCCACCAATGCTAACGAGCTAAGCAAAAATGTGGTATGCCCACGAGAGGGTCCCTCAAACAGGAAATAGGATAATTTCACGACCAACATAAATTCTTTCCACGTAATAGTACTTCAATAGAGAAGAAGTACATTTGCCTCCGGCCCATGACATATGTACACATGTGCAGTTTTCCATTTTTCTAAATTACGTGTTCTGCTGGCAGCACTCGATAGCGGCACATCTCTCAATAACAAGTATTTGAAACAATACGCGGTCCAAGTCAGCTAATGAACAAATATATACAAACGAATACCAAATTTGCCCACAGACCTTCAGACACTTCACGAGCTAAGTGAAGAGACTATGAACAAAAATGAACTCCATATATCAAGTTTAAGGTCGGACCTTTGTGAACAACCTGGTGGAAACACCGTTGGTCTGTCTCTAGGAAATTTCATTGCCTGTATTTTTTGTAGCACTTCCTTTCTTTGTTCGTGGAATAGCAAAATAATGATGGGTTCGCGTCTAATTTCTCGAATGTGCCTTCTTCTGTTTAGGACTATTATATAACAAATTCAGATATCGTTCAAGGACACGGATCTTTGCTGTTTGCAAGATCGTCATTGTGATAAAATTTCATTAAAGGATGTTTAGTCGTCGAAATTCTTCGTAAATAGTTACTTTTTTAAGATCGCTTTTGCTGAACAGAACACGGTTTGGTATTGGGTGTCAACGCAGTTCGATGTAGGGCGATCGACTACACTAGCTGAACTAGGACTTGTACACGCCAGTTACGACAACTGAACGATGAAACAAACAGAAAAAGTGACAGGCAAAGCTTAACGATACAAATCATTTCCAGGTAACACATACGCGCACCGTTTTACATGTAACACGGTACACAATATACATGGCCTAATCGGCGACTGAAGGCCGACTACAATATGGCAGCAAAAGGCGATTATTGTGTACTCACTAGCGAAGCTCTGAAGTAGAAAAGGCAGAACGAACAGAAGACAGAAACGATGAAGCGTAACGGAAAGAAAGCTGGCGAGAAATGTTTAACGTACGGTTATTTTTCTTACCTATCATAAAATAGAACTGTATTGCATAATTCTACTGCTAAAATACTAAATTCGTTACTAAAATAGATAAAGATAATTAATAGAGTTACAAAGGGTACATGATACAAATATGCTACCCTAATTATGCTAAGAACTGTGACTAGGGTACAAGAATACATAAAATAAACAATGCGAAACATATATAAATATAAAACAGGCTGGTCCAGATTATCTGCAAGGATTGCCGCCCCGAGCAGAAGAGAATCTATCATTGCCGTAGCATTTTGGTGGCTATAAATCGCTTTTTTTTTTATTTAGCTTCCGTCTAATCGTGCTACTCCGATGGATTTTATGATTACTCCTATCATTGTTACTATTACCGCATGTCACAGATGCTAACGAGAAGTAACAACACAAGAGCAAAATGGAGCACACTAGGAAACAAAAAGAAAGGTACAAAACCATAAAAAAAGGACCGATAATGCGAGCCATTTTATTAGGTGCTTTGAATGGTAATTTAGGCTGGATTGTCCCCTCAGTTAATCTCAGCAATAAAAAATAGTCACGATCAGTTTGACGAGAAGAAAAACAGAGTAACCAACGAGGACAGTAAATAATAACAACGACGAAAAAACAACGGTTACAACGAAGACGTCGACGATAATACAAACAGATCGAGGATCGCGGTGAACATTGTTGTTGTTGTTACGGTAATTTGTATTGTTCCTACTGCAAACTGTAACTATAAGCGATGATTGGTCTGACGTACTAGATAAATATTGCATTGGCATTTGATAAAATTGTTATTAGGGTTACGATAGTTTCCATTTTGTATGTGGCCAGGGGGGCGTAATGATTCGAAAGTATTGCACATAAGCGGTGAAGAGTTACTGTAACACTGATAATACACGCGCGTTTGCCGTTGTTGCATCGCTTACTGATTGACGTCACAGTTCGACGTTCGTGTGACATTTTGACCGCAAAATGACTCAAGAGAAACAGATTGATCGAGAAAAAGGAGAACCGAAAGCGCGAGCGAATGCAAGATAAACTGCTAATCATAATAGCGATAATAATTATCAATTAATAATGATATTATCGAAAAAAAAAAAACACTAATCGTGAAAAAGAGGAACGAAGTGCATAACGATCATGCTGAAACGGAAGAACGGGGAAGGAAGACAAATAATGCGATAACTATAATAAACATGATAATTATTATGTGTACTAGTAATATTTGATGATGACGATTTTGATGAGCCGTAATAACAGAATGTTGATGACGTAATGGTAATAGAACTTCGTCGAACTACGCGAAAAGCCCGGAGAAGGCTGGCAAACCAACAACAGCAACAACAACAACAACAACAACAACCTATGAAATAATGTACAAATCTCTTACTATTATTATTATTATTATTAAACATAATACAGAGAAAAATGACTATGAGGATGAGAATGATACTAACAATTACTATATTATCATTATTATTATTATTATTATTATTATTATATGCATTACTCACTATTTAAAAAATAACGACTGCTAAAAAAAATGCGATTAAAAATACATGATGGTGAAGGAGATGATGAAGCGATGTTGAACAGAGAGGGAGAAGCCAAGCCGACGAAAGTTAAAAGAAAGATGCTTGTTAAAGCAGAAAATAAAAATAACTAAAATATATAACAATGGAGAAAGGCGATAACGATGGTGATGAAAGGCGAAAAAATGATATTCATAATAATAATAATAATAATAATATTATTATTGAAAAATATATAATAATATACATGACAATAGCAACAGCAACACGAAAAATACCAGCAGTAACAGCAACAACCACCACTCTGACGACAAAAAAACAACATAATATATCGACACGAAGTTAGATTGCGGCGGAGCCGATTACTGGATGTAGCATTGAAGTATGTTGTTCGTATCTATATACGCGTGTACGCTGGACTACCTCGAATGGCACCGGAAGACAATTCGGGCGCGTGCGGTGTTCACGCAAACAAAACTCAAATCGTAGCCACAACTAATGCTCTTCTTCCGGTCGAGCGAACCAAGTTTTTTTCTAAGCAAATAAACAAAACGACGCCGAAGTCAGAGGAAAGAAGAGGCGCAGGTCGAAGCAGACAAAAGCGATGATGTGATTGTCCCACTTTTACTAGCGAGACGTTTCTAGTCAATCAGCAGCCGGCTGTTCCGTGGAGATTCCGCATGAGAGCGGAGCCGACT